TTTTTTTTTATGTCGTGTATAAATATGAAAAAAAGTTTATTTTTATGTTAAGTTGCACAAACACATGATCCGGGTATGTTTAGATATTTTCTAAATAATAAATGGCTATTGAAGAAAATCCACAAAATTAAATTATATATGTTACCATCACGTATCACATCTAGCTGGCTATAACGAACGAACTCTGGCAATAACGAACAAAAATTCTCATGACAGGGGGTTTAGTATAAACAGAGTCAACTGTATGCTCTTTACATTGTCTACCAAATCGTCCCACTATATACAGTAGGACAAAAATACTATAGAAACAGTCAAATAACTGATCTATAACATAAATATATATATATATATATACATACATAATTATAAAAATGAACCAAATTCAAGTTCAAGTATTTTAAATACACCTGACAACTTCTAGCTTCTTAATCTAATAGTTTTATTTTTTACTTTTAAATAGAATCAAATTATAAATGCAATCTGTGATTATGAATTTATATCTGGTTTTTGGAGTATTACTATTACAAAAAATAGAAAAGGCTGAAGAGAATGAATGAAATTTGTTCTAGTTTATCATGAAGCTGTATTTGTTCAAATATTTAACAAGTGTTGATAGGTGATATATATGTGATTTTAAAGAAGTAGCAGAGAAAGAAAATTTTAAATGAATGTTTGGGATCAGAAGAATGTGCCATTAAATATTATTTATGAGAATAATAAAACTATTTTCTCACATACTGTATATGTATGTACACGATCAGAAGGTGAGGAAATGTAGAAGGAAATAAAAATTGTAGATGGTAGAGGAAACGAGACAATATGCAATGTAATAAGTTGAACATTATGTTTAAATAGATTTAGGTAACAATAATAATTTATAATATTCTTCTAATAAAAATTTTCATCAATTATACTTAATGATTATTACTATAGGATAAAATACATAATTCTTGCTGATTACAATATTATTATAATAAGAACCAACAAACTATGCTTCGCGTCACAAACTATATGTTTTGTGTCACTAATTATGCTTTGAATCACGAATTATGCCCCGCGTCATGAATTATTGCTTCAGAAGACCCTAGATTTCGTATGATTATTACTTGGGGCGTTGGTTAAATGCCAAGGTTTTCTTTATTGCTAATCATAATAAAAAACATATGTTAAATTAAAAATAGCAAACATACAGTATATTTTACATTTAATCGTTCATTTTCTTTTATAGTTATCCTAGTGAGTTTAGAATGTTATTGTTAACCGTTGGGGTCATGTGATTTTTATAGTGTTGTGACACTAAAAGTAGTGTCATTAATTTGAGAATTAGCAGTAATGCATTGTTGGAATTATTCACAGTTGTATATTGAAAAGCCAAATGCAATTATTGCGGGGAATGCGGAGTGTAACATTACACACCAATCAATTTTTTAATTTAAGATAGTTTCTAAATTTGTACTAGTTACACATGATCATAAATCAAATACGCGTTTCGCGTCTGTTAATATGAAATTATCATTTGTCACAAGGATTTTCTAATAATAATGTTTGTTTCTGTAATTCAAACCATTTATATAAAACCAAACCAAACTCTCCAGACAGGACGTTTCCCCGACAGGATGCTTTCTAACAGTTAATCATAATATTCATAATATTTCTTTGTATCCATATAATTTTATTGTCGGGGAATCGTCCATCGTATTCCTTTGATTCTCTAATAATATAATTGCAAAAGAGACAGCAACATTCAACTTTATTATACATTTAAAAGCAAAACTAATAATCAAAATTCAGTTAGAAAATAATGTAAAAAAAATAATTTTTATTTTAAATTTGATTTGAGACAAATCAAATAATTTTTAAATTGTTCTGTTAATAAAATAATAAAATAAAGAAGGTAAATTGAAAATAAAGTTATCTCAATTGATAAATTTTTATTTAAAATGTTATGCTTGAGTTCGACTATATGTGTTGAAATTTTTAGAAGCTTCCCCCAAAAATAATTCTTATATAGGTAGATGTTCATGTGTCCTAATCTCCAGAAATGCAGGAAGTTGTTATACACTCGTCTCCAAACATCTTAACCCACAATGGTGATTCATTGATAAGCACAATCAGCAGAATCAAAAGTAATGTTACTGCAATACCAGATGAAACAAAATAAACGTGAATAATTTTTTTCGTTTTTTTTCCTTTTAAAAAGCCATATCCAAAATTAATGTGGTAAATGCATTCTAAAAGACTATTAAACGTCCACAAAGTGCATAATCCTGCAAGAAATTTGGATCTACAAAAGAACCCAATTGGTGGTGTGAAAAAAGCCATGACCACTGATACCCATGGAAATACTACCGAGAATAATGTAGTAATTATAAACATTAACTTTTTGTAACGTTTGTCGACTTTTTTTTCTGTGGTTTTTTCACCCCGTTCAACGAATTCATTTTTAATAGCCTCTATGTCTTCATTTTCTTCTAACACTCTTATTAAGTGAACCTTTAACTTCTCTAACTTTATTTTAGGATCCTTGACAACAATTTCTCTTCTAAATGTTCTTTTAACAATCACTGGAACAGTCCAAAGAAATGACAAAGTTAAAGAGGGCCAATCTTCAGGAGTACATGGTCCCGTCGCACTGTAAATTCCTGAAATTATTCCAACAATAATATAATATGCAGACGCCAATGATGATAATCGGTCCATCACTGAAGCGTTTGCTGTGCATTGTTTCATAATTTTCTTTTGCTCCAAAGTAATCAGCATATTTTTAGCATGAAGACCGACTGGATGAAAGTCAAGATTATTTCCTTCTGTTGTAACAAAATATTCTTCAGGGAGCCAATATATACACATTTCCACTCGGTCAGCTCCTATGACCAGGTAGTAAAACAGACCTGTGAAAGGAGAGCCAAGGCACCTAAATACCCAAATCAGTTTATCTATCAAATCTTTAAATGGGGATGTCCCCAATATTACGATCACAGGAATGAGACCCGATATATATTGCGGCATGGGTTCTTGTAATTTAGGAATTATTGGATTTTGTGACATTTTATGTTAAAAATTTATTGTTTTAATCAAATATCAAATGGCATTAATTACTTTCAGTAGAGTTTATTTATAAGTGAAAAATTAATTGTCCATCTTCCTAAATCAAACGTTCATTCACAATTTGAAACGATTTTACTTATCTTTTTATTTACAATGTAAATGAAAATTTTAATAAATAAACGCCCAAATTTGTTTTATCATTAAAATGAGTCAACGATAATTTTTTAATCTATTAAATTAAAATAAAGTCTATAGACTTTTTTTTGAATATAATAACATTCTCATTTTGGCGACCTGATAGCAAATCTAAAAATAGTGCGGTCACACTAACACATCAAATAAAAGACGATATTTGACCAGTTCTACCAAGATAATTTAATATTAAAAAAATTACTGGTTTCAGTAACAAAAATTCCTGTTTGTTACTATAGATGGGCGTCTAAATTGTTTTGGGGGTTTTCTAAAGTCAAAATAGTATTTAGACAAAATGTCTAAATGTCTAAATTAATTTATATTTTAGACATTGTCTAAATAATTTAGTTTAGACGCCCATCTGTATATTTGACCCAAACTAAAATTAAGTATAATATATAACTTGACACTAAGGTTTGCAATAACATTAGAAAAAAAAACATAATTCGACCCATAATATATACTAACATTAAAAATTTGGAATTGTCTACTGTAACAAAAATAATTTTACCAATCAATTGATTTAACCGATTTAACTGATAATAATTCACAGATTTTTATAATTTAATATTTTTTTTTTAATATAAAAGATTTACTATAAAATATTATTAGTTTTGTTTTTTGAATGAGCACGTAAGAAAAAATTTTGTTACACAAAATTTTTGATTACCTTTTTGGCGTGTATAATAACTTGACCCACAGATTGATACTAACAATTAATTGACCCTATTTAGTGATTATTGCATTTGCAAAATTTAATTTATTATTATATATTAATATATATATATATGTGAATTTGACCCAACTGCGGTAGTAACCTATCTATGAAGTTTGTTTCAGGTTATTTGTTTTGTGTTTTTATGTTTTATATGATACATAATTTCCATATTTTAAACATTTTTAATTCGTGTTTCACCAGACATATTTATAAAAAAAATTAAATTTTAGACGGAAAATTTATTGTTTAAAATTCCCATATTCGATATGTTTAGTATTGTTGTACGTAAAAATGAAATTATGTGAATTCTCAATTCACATATGAGAAATTCAAAAAAAATTGTTTTTGGTGAACTTGGATGTAGTGTAATGTGTGTGAACAGATTTACTATGTTGATTATCTTTGCATATCTGCAAATTCATTAATAGATTCCTACACATGATTGGCGAAAC